ATATCAAGAAATGGTTGGAGGCACTTACACTGCAAAGGCTATGGGCCCACTTCCATCTAGAAGGACGAGGGCAGCAGATACATGGGAATATCACCACCTCAAATTGTGGGTCAATCTACAGCAGGTGGACTGCAGCGGTTCAAGAAGGAAGCTCACCCCCACCTTCTCAAGGGTAACTGTAAATGCTGGCCAGCCAGTGACACCCATATCCCACAAAATTAATAAAATTCAATCTAACTTTATAATATTGCTATTGCAAAGCTGCTACAGCTAATATTACTAGGACTAATACTCAGTCTGTTACTGTGCAGTTCTGTTCACACACAATACTTCTAAAAGGACTTTCTGCTGCATGTTCATAATGATTATGTTCATTTCTACACACAATTGAAAGACTCTGCCACCAACACGTTCATCACTGGGCTGAAACTTCTCATGACCAAAATATTGCCCACTCTTTGCATATCTCTGTCCTATTCTTCTGAATCTTTTGCTTTATCATTAGTTTTGAAAACTCTATTTACCATTTGGGAAGTTCACGGTATAATAGAATTCCAAATCACTTCTGGAATATCGATTGTCTACATTCTGAGCATTTCTGGGGTTCAATGCTTTTGTTATCAGTCCCAAGTTCGCTTTGCTTCTCAAAATTATCATTTTTTTTTCTATCCACATTTCTCTATTAAAATTCTCTTTTTACACTGTTGCCCATGAGCTGTAACTAGATAGCTTCACAGCCCATTAACATTGTGTCCTCCATTTCCTGCTGTATGGATGATTGGTCCCTTTATATCACAAATGCTGCTGGTTAGGAATGCTTTACAAGGATGGTTTCAGTGCTTCTGACTTTTGTCCTATTGTTGTGAGTTTATTTGCAAATTTAATTCCTGTCAAAATTAGAGGTCTTTGGAAACTCTGTACATCAGTATAGTCTAGCAACTCAAAAACCAGCACAAATTAGGGAATTCCCAAATAGAATTTGTGTAGTCTTGCATACAATCTACTGAATTCCAACTTCTACGGAGCTATCTTCACTCTTCATTAATTTGTCAAACCCTGACCATAAACAGTTGGTGAATCTTTCTCTCAGATAAATTGTATCTATGGAAGTTAATACTTTGTCCAAACCTTCATTTTTATCTGTATTATCACTCTCCAACTCTAAACAAAAGAAATTGTTTCTTATCCTGAATGGTAGTGAAAGAGCCAAGGCCGTAGCTTGCTTTCCCTTCAGTACTGAATTAATATGGGTCCAGATGGTTACTGCGCTCTTTCACTGGCCAGAATATTTGCGCTCAAAGATTATCATACTCTGAGACTTTACATTTTGATTCAATCATTGTTGAAATTTCTTACAAATCACTGTTTAATTGGAATGCTGCCTTAGCTTTTAACATTTGATTTACCAACTCCCTAACTATCCTCTTGTACCAATGTCAAGTACTGGACTTCAAAGGGTGGTTACACAGAGTCCAGGTGTGTACTTTTCTGGTCAGAATTTTATTGCGACTTACATATCACATATCTCCAACACACTGATTACCTGTTTTGCATAGATACGTAAAAATAGAAACATACCCAGTTCTTGCTCAATTATCCCTAGTGAACATAAAATAACAATTGCCTGTTACCTAGATCCATTTGATCTCAGGCATCACTGCCAGACCCTACTCGATGATTACATCCATTATGTACAGAATGAAGACGCTACTAAAGGGCAGAAATCACACTCCATAAAGCTGTGGACAATTGGCCCCTTCTGGAGTACTGTGTGCAGTTCTGGTTACCCTGCTATAGGGAGGATATTATTAAACTGGAGAGAGTTTAGGAAAAAAATGACCAGGTTTTGCCGGTAATGGAGAATTTTGAGTTATAAGGAGACTTTATGTGGTTTTCAGCAAGGCCTTTGGCATGGTCTCACCTGGGAAACTGATAAAGAAGGTAAAAGCACATGGGATCTGGGGTAACTTGGCAAATTGGATACAAAATTGGCTTTGCGACAGGAGACAGAGGGTAGTGATAGAAGGCTGTTTTCTGGGCCCCACTGTGCAGTGGTGTACCACAGGGATCAGTGCTGGATCCTTTATTGTTTGTGTTATATAAACTCAGGTTGTTTCCTTTAGAGCAGAGAAGGCTGAGAGGGCACCTGATAGAGGTGTGGAAGGTTATGAGGGGCACGGACATGTTGGATAGAAAGCAGCTATGGCCCACAGTCAAAGGGTCAGTAACAATGGGGCGTGATTGCAAGGTGAAAGATAGGAGGTTTAGGGGAGATTTGACAAAAATCCTTTTCACCCAGAGGGTGGTGGGGTTTGGAATGCACTGCCTGGGAGGGTAGCTGAGGTGAGAAACCTTAATCTTCAGCACAACATTCCAGGCTATGGGTCTACTGTGGGACAATGGGACTGATGTAGATTAAGCATAGTTTTGGTGGTCCAGACTCAATGGGCTGAAGGGCCTCTTCTGTACTGTGTGATTCTATGATTCTACACAGAGGCTACAAGAGAAGGCCAGAGTCTAGGAATCCTGTGGTGAGTAACTCACCTCCTGACTCTTCAAAGCCTGTCCACCATCTAGAAGGAGTGTGTTGGAATACTCCCCACTTGCCTGGATGGGTGCAGCTCTAACAACACTCAAGAAGCTCAACACCATCCAGGACAAAGCAGCCCGTTTGACTGGCACCACTGATGCTCAGTAGCAGCAGTGTGTACCATCTACGAAATGCGCTGCAGAAATTCTCTTTAGCCAGCACCTTCCAAACCCATGACCACTTCTATCTAGAAAGACAAGGGCAGCAGATACATGGGAACACCATCACTTTGAGTTCCCCTTCAAACCACTCCTGACTTAGAAATATATCGTTACTTCATTGTCATTGGGTCAAAATCCTGGAGTTCCCTCCTTAAGGGCATTGTGGGCTAACCCAAATAGACTGCAGTGGTTCAAAAAGGCAGCTCACCACAAACCTCTCAACTAGGAATGAGCCGTAAATGAGGCAGGGATTCTGGTGGGGGAACTGCACGTGTTTTTGGATACTTTACAAGTTGCACCAGGGGTGTGTTTCAGATACTATACCAAGAATGTTGTTTTTCTTTTCAATTTATAAAGACGTGTTTTGTAATTAATGGACTTATATTTTAAGTAAGTGTTCAACAATCTTTGAATTTGTGATGTAAGTGGGCAGTTTGGTTTGTTCTATTTTTGATCTTCATTTCTTTTGTTAATAAACTTCTGTTTTATTCTTATAGTGGATCTGCAGCATTGTGTGCTTATGTTTCAGTGAGAGAAAACTTGGTTAAAACCAAAACAAAACAAGCTATAATCCATCAAGCCAATATGTCAAAGAACAAAGGAAAAAAGAAAATTACAGCTCTGGAACAGGCCCTTCGGCCCTCCAAGCCTGCGCCGATCCAGATCCTTTATCTAAACCTGTCGCCTATTTTCCAAGGATCTGTATCCCTCTGCTCCCTGCCCATTCATGTATCTGTCTAGATATATCTTAAATGATGCTATTGTGCCCGCCTCTACCACCTCTGCTGGCAATGCGTTCCAGGCACCCACCACCCTCTGCGTAAAGAACTTTCCACGCATATCTCCCTTAAACTTTTCCCCTCTCACCTTGAAATCATGACCCCTAGTAATTGAGTCCCCCACTCTGGGAAAAAGCTTCTTGCTATCCACCCTGTCTATACCTCTCATGATTTTGTAGACCTCAATCAGTTCCCCCCTCACCCTCCGTCTTTCTAATGTAAATAATCCTAATCTACTCAACCTCTCTTCATAGCTAGCGCCCTCCATACCAGGCAACATCCTGGTGAACCTCCTCTGCACCCTCTCCAAAGCATCCACATCCTTTCGGTAATGTGGCGACCAGAACTGTACGCATTATGCCAAATGTGGTCGAACCAAAGTCCTATACAACTGTAACATGACCTGCCAACTCTTGTACTCAATACCCCGTCTGATGAATGAAAGCATGCCGTATGCCTTCTTGACCACTCTATCGACCTGCGTTGCCACCTTCAGGGTACAATGGACCTGAACACCCAGATCTCTGTGTGCATCAATTTTCCCCAGGGCTTTTCCATTTACCATATAGTTCGCTCTTGAATTGGATCTTCCAAAATGCATCACCTCGCATTTGTCTGGATTGAACTCCATCTGCCATTTCTCCGCCCAACTTTCCAATCTATGTATATTCTGCTGCATTCTCCGACAGTCCCCTTCACTATCTGCTACTCCACCAACCTTAGTGTCATCTGCAAACTTGCTAATCAGACCATCTATACCTTCCTCCAGATCATTTATGTATATCACAAACAACAGTGTCAGTCTGACTTTTCTGGTCATAACATCAGCTGGGATCATAGCACGGGACTGAGATCATTCTACCTCCCAGCCAGTTGGGATAGTTTTTCCTGCTCAATGGGAGCAGGGCAGAGATCATTCCATTATCTCCGTGTCTGTGGTAAAATGTCATGGAGCTCTTGTGAGACGTCATGGGATTGGGAAGTGGGGTCGCTCACATCTGCCAGAGGTTATGTGGAGGCTGTGGAACGCACCAATGTGCAGTCACAGCAGAAAGCTACTCAGAACTTCCAACCTGTTCCACAGGAAATTGAAGAGGCCATTCAGCCCATTGAGCCTGTTATCCAAGGGCAGAAGGGAGGACATTTATGTCTCCTTGGGCCTGCAACACAGGAACCAGCAGAGGCCATTCATCCCCTCAAACCTCTTCAGCTGACTCTGTCACTGAGTTAGATGAAGGATGCTCTGTACCTCAACCTCAACTCCAGTTGGGTGTCCCTAACACCAAAGAGAGGGAGAGATAAAGAGAGATAAAGAGAGATGAAAAGAGATGAGAAATATATAGAGAGACAGAGATGGTGGGGGAGGTTGGTAGGGCAGAGAGATAGACGTTTGTATTGCACAATGTTTGTTATGATTGCGATCAGACTGGAGTCTCACAAACAGATCCTGAACATACAGGCTGAGCTCACCTCCTGCGAGTATGTCAAAGAGCCGATCAGTGTTGTTAGGATTATTGACTATTCCCGCAGCCTGGATGTGGATTCTGAAGTCCTGCTTGTTCAGCGGCATCTTGGGCAGCTCAAAGTTCTTCACGCTTTCCTCCTGTTTGAGCGTATCCCAGTGTTTCTGCATGGTCCCATAGAACAGACCCTTCAGCTCCTCTGTCTCCTGTACAGTGTGAAGCTGCTCGGGAGTCATAGAATTCAGCGTGTGCTTGACCAGATCCCAGGGGAAGAAGTTCATGTCGATTTTCTCCAGGTTCTGGAAGTCCAGCAGAGCTTGCAGGGACTGACCCTGGGCCAGGCGGACAATCCCACGCAGGTAAAAGCACACAGCTAATGCCTCTGAGTCCTCTATCCCTGTCTGGTCAATGGTTCTGCTGATCTGCACAATCAGCTTGGTATAATACAGGGAGACGCTGAGAGAATCCAGTGGGTCACAGGGGAAAGAAGGCAGGTATAATGTTCGGAGTGGTGCTTTACTCTTACCAATTCTTCCTGTCAAAAAGAAAATAGAATTTACAGGAAGAAGCAACACATGACATGCATTTAAAAAAAGACATTGTGCATCCTGAGAGCAGTGCTTACAGAAACAGGCCATTCAGCCCCATGCTGGGAATTCTGTTCCCTTTCCCCAAGCTCCCTCTTTGTCTCACCCTATCACCAACTCTCTTTATTCCTTTCTCCCCTTGTGTGCTTATCCCCCACCCCCAACAACATATCAATGTTATTCACCTCTGTCACTGCTAGCTGTACAACTTCCACATTCACACCACACTTTCTGTGAAGGGGTGTCTCCTGAATTCCCGACTGGATTGAATCTGGGACTGTCTTAGACTCAAACATAACCTCCTTCTGTACTGTGTGGTGTTAAAGTGATGTACGAAAACCCAAAGTGAGGATGATGCGAGGAATAACCTTTCTGCACAGCGAACAGTTAGGGTCTGGAATGCAGACCTCTCCTCAAATTTTTTTTTACGAGGAGAGGCAGCTCCTCCCTGTTTTACTCTGTCCAGCCCCCAACTCGTAATTTTGAAAACCTCTATCAAGACCCAGAGTGGAAACAGCTGAAATTGTGGATTATTACCTAAAGTTTTGCTCATTTTCCATGAGTTGCGCTGTGCCACCGGTTCGAGTGACAGTGTCTCATCGTTTGCATTTGTGGACAATATCTGACGAGACTGAAGAGTTTGATCTTTTCTCTTCCTAGGACAGGTTGACGAGATGTTGGTTGATGAGCATGAGTTCAGGGTCTGGTCCCAGCTCAATCTGAAACAGTATGGATGGGGTACAGTTAGTGGAAGTGTTTATGTTCCAGGATGAACAATCCAGGGCACATCCTGGTTTGAATCAGGAGCATGAGCAGGCAATGTGGCCCTTCGATCCTGCTCTTCCGTACTATCACATCCTGGCTGATCTGATGATTCTACATCCTTATCTAACCCTTTCAGCCCCCTGAGTGTGCCGAAATCTATCTACCTCCACCTTAAAAAGACTCTGTTTCCACCGTCTTTTGAAGTACAGACTTCCAAAGTCTTGTGACCCTCTGGGAGAAAACATTTTGTCCCCATCACAGCATTAATTGGACAATCACTGATTTTTAAAAACATTGACCCCAAGTTCTAGATTCTCCTACAAGAGCCAATGTCCTCTTCCCATCCTCCTGCCCAAGACCCCTTAGGATCTTACATGTTTCAATCATGTCACTGCTTTTCCTCCTCCACACCAGAGGACACAGGCTTGTTCTGTCTAACTCTTCCCCACACAGTAAGCTGCCCAGGGGTTAGCCCAGGGAACCTTGTTTAAATTTCTTCCAATATATTTAGATCTTCCCCTAAATGAGGAGAACAATATTGTACACAGTCCTCTAGATGTGTTCTCACCAGTGCCCTGTGTATCTGAACCATACCCTCCTGACTTGTGTGTTCAATTCCTCTAGTAAGAAGCAAGAACATTTCTAGCTCTCCTGATTACTTGCTGTACCTGCAGACTAATCTTCTGTGATTCAGGGACACCCAGATCCCTCTGCATTTTAGAGCGCTATGACTTCTCAACATTTACACAATATACTTCCTTTTTTATTCTTCCTACCAAATTGAACAATTTCACATTTTCTCAGATTATAGCCCATTTGTTAGATCACTCACTTGAACTATCTATATCCCATTGTCCTTTCTTCATTAACGGAATGAGGGCGTCTCTGGCCGGGCAGCATTTATTGCCCATCCCTAATTGCCCAGAGGGCAGTTAAGAGTCAACCACATTGCTGTGGGTCTGGAGTCACATGTAGGTCAGACCAGGTAAGGATGGCAGTTTCCTTCCCTAAAGGGCATTGTGGCCTACTATGTCCTGTTAACAACTTACTTTCCTCTCTATCTTTGTGTCTTCAGACAATTGAACTCCCACACCTTCGATCCCCTTCATTGAAGTTTATTTAAAATGTTGAGGCCCCAGCACTGCCCCCTTGCGGAACTCCACTCATTACATCTTGCCAACCAGAAAATGGTCCATTCCTTGTTAGCTGGTTAACCTTCCATCTGTATCAATATGTTACACACTACATCGTGAACTTTTATTTTCCACAATTACATTTTATGGAGCACTTTGTCAAATGCCTTTTAGAAATCTTAAATACAGGATGAAATAACTCCACAGAGGCTGGTATCCTGCCACCAAGTCACCCTTTATTTACATGTGGAGAGTCCTTGACACTGATCCTCAGAGCCAGCTCTCAGAGTGAGCAGGATATCTGACACTCTTGTTTATATCTGTCAGTCAAGGCTCCCTAATTGGACCAGATTAACAGCTTCAATCAGGGAACTCATATTCTCTGATGTCCACCTGGCTGACCTCGTTACAATCACTACACAGGACATTCATTGGTTCTCCTTTATCCACAACATCTTACTGCCTCAAAGAACAGACTGGTCTAGCATGATTTCCCTTTTACAAAACCATGTAGACTCTGCCTGATTATCTTGAACAAGAGCCCTGCTGTAATCTCTTTACTACAGCAAGCTTTGTTTTAATCAGCACCGCATGAACCAGCACTCTCCATAAATCGGCAAAACGCCCCTGAAATACCGGATTTTTACTGTATTACCATGATGTCCGAGTAATCAGTTGAGGGTGTGACTGAGAAGGCTGTTTGGCGCTAAGTTTTATTTCAGGCAAAGCTGCACTATTATTTAAGTGATTTGTGCTTTAAATAAAGTATGGCAGAATGTGTATAGTGCCCCTCCTCCCCCCACCTCCCCACCCAACCATGTACTACGTTTCTATTACTTAGCGTGTGTTTTAAAATTGATCATTTGGACCTGTTGATTATCTGGAATATTTGATCAATCTGCATACTCCTGGTCCTTTAGGTTAACAAAAAATTGCTGTAATAGCTTTGAACAATTTCCCTCGAACAGATGTTAAGGGAACTGGCCTTTAGTTTCCTGATTCCTTTCTTCCTCCCTTTCTGAATCTGGAGTTATAATCAGAAACAAAAACAGAAGTTGCTGGAAAAGCTCAGCAGGTCTGGCAGCGTCTGTGAAGAAAAAAATCGGAGTTAACGTTTCGGGTCCGGTGACCCTTCCTCAGAACATGATAACTATCCTGAAAAGGATTAACTGCCCCCTGGGCAATAGGGGATGGGCAATAAGTGTTGGCTTAGCTAGTAGCACTGAAATCCCATAAGCAGATTAAAAAGAACTGATTGAAATATGCTTTATAACAGACCAGTTCCGAGGAAGGGTCACCAGACCCAAAACGTTAACTCTGATTTTTTTCTTCACAGATGCTACCAGACCTGCTCAGCTTTTCCAGCAACTTCTGTTTCTGCTCCTGATTTACAGCATCCACAGTTCTTTCGGTTTTTACCGGAGTTATATTCACTATTTTCAATCAGCAGGAACCTTCCCAAATCAAGGGAATTTTGAAAAATGCATCAACGGTATCTTGAGCCATCAGGATCTCGGAAACATATTAGCCCACAGCTCCAAGAAAATGCTCAGTAGAAAATATGAAATAAATATCTGGTCTCAGTAAATGGCCAAGGATCTGCTGAAATTCACCAAAAATCCATCAGGGTTACTGTCCTTTGGAGCGAAATTGGTCCCTTTTACTGGGTCTGCGTCTATGTATGACTCCAGACCCACAGTAATGTGTGACTCCAGACTCACAGTAATATGTGGCTGACTCTTAGCTGCCCTCTGGGCAATAGGGGATGGGCAATAAGTGTTGGCTTAGCCAGTAGCACTGAAATCCCATAAACAGATTAAAAATAGCTGTTTGAAATATGCTTTAGAAGGACATGGTCCAGAGATATTGCCAATACATGATCACATCCAGTCCCATTAGCACACTGACTGAATGCTGGGTGACTGTGCTTATTTTAAGCGTATGCAAGCTGTGGGTAGAGTGAAAAGTGAAGGGCTCAGCTTAATGGAGTGAATTGGTCTTGAACACACTGGCCAACCCAATGTTATGTTAAATCTTGACTCCATATGTTTCATCCCAATGATGTGCTCCTCCTCCATTATGGAGGGCATCAATGTTGGACAGAGTTGGTATCTGGGTCGACAGAACTGGGTCTCACTTGGTGACAATCTCTTCTGGGGTCAGCAGGTTGTGGGTTTGAGTTTTGCTCCAGAAACTTGGATAATAGCCAACAGTACCACTGAGGGAGGGCTGCATCTCCTGAGGTACCAGCTTTCAGATGGATAAACCATGGCCCTGCTTACCCTGATGGGTGGATGGAAAAGATCCCAATGCACTATCTTGAAAAAAGAGCAGGACGGTTCTTTTCAGTCAGAGATAGTAGGAACTGCAGATGCTGGAAAATCTGAAATAACAAG